AGTAACGGGTTTTCCACTGACTTTTTCAAACTGTTTTTTTTTTTTTTTTTTTTTTTTTTTTTTTTCGGCYCTTTTTTTTTTTTTTTTTTTTTTTTTTTTTTTTTTTTTTTTTTTTTTTTTTTTTACTTAGGACGGCCCCGGTCGTTAGTTACCAAGTTAAACACTTTGATACGATTTTTTTTAGGGAATTCACTGAACGCTTTGCGTATGTACATATGCAAGTACAGTTTTCTTGTGGGCGGACCTTTCCCTTTTCACACTTTTTATTTATTACACCATTTTGTATGTTTGTCACTTTGAGCACTGCACATATGCACCTCTTGTTATTTTGTTTTTGTTTTTTGTAGGTTTAGGAAAGCAGAGTTGGGTAAGTATTTTTGTTATGTACACTTTAGAACTGTTATTTTCATTTATTATATTTTTTTCTTTTCTTTTTTGCTTTTTAGTTATCACTGTTCCAAAGTAAACAGAACTTAAAAATAAAACAACACAACAAATGGTTTTTTCAGCAAAAACTAACGGCTTTATTTTAATCAAAAGAGTCTCCTTCTCAGTCGTGGATTTACATTAGGGGCAGTCGGGGCTAGTGCCCAGGGCGGCAAAATTTGGAAAGTAGGAAAAAAAGTGAGCTGTCAGTTGACAGATGGCAGATGTGAAACATCGAAATTATTTTATAAAAGTAATAGCAGAGAACGTATATTTATAGAGAAGATTTACGATGTCGAAAATTTAGGGATGTTTCAATTTTGGTATATGTACTGCTTTGGGATGAGCGTGTTTCACCACAGAAAATTATTAGCGTGTATCACCACTTAACCATCAGGGCAGGAAAATAACAGAACCTCATTGGAGGACGAATTTGTGCACTTCCTTGCTTATTGCACTGAAAAAAAGATGGAACAAAATTCAACTTTTGCGTGCAAACGACCTTTATACAGAGTTTCCGAGCGAAGAAATTGCATATCGAAACCACTCGTGCGCTTTGCTACGGTATAGGCAATCATCGCCATAAACTTGTTTCATCCATTGAAATGTGTAGGTAAAAGTTTTACCAATTTTAAAACAAAATTTTATGTTGGCTCTTTGTTAGAAGCTCATTTTCGCACCGATAACACAAACATACTGACACTTAAAACGCAATAACTTCACTTCCAATAAACGAAATGTCATGAAGTTTTCACTTGACAATCGATAAAGATAACAGATTTTAACGGTCGACATATAGATGGCGCCACCAGGGCAAGTCCTGTTTACTTTGGAATGTATCTTGTATTATTTTATTAACTTTTTGCTCACTTTGTGCACTGTTTATAATTTTCGTTGTGTCACTGCACTTCTGACCCTTCACTTTTACACATATGTAGATATGTATTCTTTTATTATTTTTTTTTTTTGTTTTGTTTATGTTTAATTTTTTTTGTTTTTACTTCACAAGGCCGAAAACCGAAAAGTATTTAACAGACGATTTTTATCGAAAATAATAACGAACACTAATATGTGTTTTTGTATGTTTAAAAATTAAAATTTTGTTTTTCTTAAATGCACGCGCAAGTCCCTGCTCGGACGCCATGAAATTTCTAATTTTCTTTTTTGAGACACGAAAAGTTTAAATTGGTATGCGCGATTAAAAATTAAAAACTACCAATTTCCTGCCTCGAAAGAAGTAAAATTTTAAATAGCAAAAAACTCAGAGAGAGTTCTTTATTCCGTTTTATGGAATCGCTTAGCCTATATCTTAAACTAACGGCTTAATCTAGTGGTAATGTAAGTATGTGTTACAAAATGGGTAAGAAATTATCTTTTGTTAAACATTGTACTAGCTTACATAAACTATAAGTTTAAGGTAAGTAATATATTAGTGTTATGAATGCATTATTAAGGTTAGTATTTTATATAATAGAGTTTCTTTATTTAATTTTTAATAAATAAATATTCAATATTTTACAATTCATTTAATAATTCTTGTTTTAGGTATAAAAATGTCGCTTGACGCAACAGCTCTGAAAAGGCCTATTGTGCAATAATTTACGTTGCACCCTTGAAGACGCTGAGCCTACTACGGTTCGAACAGAATGGAGCACTTCTCTTAGAAAAAATAGTTTCAGTTGTCCAAAATCCTCTCAAATCAACCATTTACAAAATGTATCTTTGGTTAGATTAGGGTTATAAAAACCAGCCCAAATCTAGAAGACTTATGTATCTAACTGCATATCTCAAATCTTAGAATTAATTTGTAACATGAATGTATGAGCCGATAACCCAGCAGATCTATGAACAAGAGACTAAAAACCACTTTGCTTCAGCAGCAGTAAACTCTGGTTGACAGAATCACAAGTATTCGGACCAAAGTCGACCGCTCGAAAGATCTTATCCGCTGTATGTCGGAAAATTTTAAATTTTCATATGACTCCAGATGAAGATGATATTGTACACGGATTTTCATCATTCCCGAGAGCACTAACAAAAAATTAAATGAATACCAAACTATCCTTGCACATATCTAACGCATTCCGACTTGCAACATGCCATGGTCAGTCTTATCACATATACCCGAACTCCTTATGCAAATGGTACGCTAGCGAGCTCCAGCCTTAGTTACAATGAACGACATCCCGTCATTATTCCTGAGAAATTCCGTTTCACTTCTTTATTTCTAGTATATCTCTATCAGCTTACACTGCATGGTGAGCATCGCTTGATGCAACAAATGGTCCGACAAGAATTTTACATATCGCGACTAAAGCCACGAATCAAATAGGCCATTTTCATGTGTAAACAATGCACTATGTACAAACACAAAATGCATGTTGTATGTTTTACACATCGAGCTTTGTTCAGATCTGATCGGAGCTCAAAGGGCCACAGAGAAAAAATTTATAAACTTCATAAGTCTCCCTTGAATTTGTTAAAAAGTATGCACCTCAACGGATCGATTGGCAGTTTATACCTCCATGATCTCTACACATAGACCTTGGCAACCAGCATTAAAAAGCTTTAAGTCGCATTCAAAGAAAACGGCAGGTTATCACAAATACTTTTTTGAGGAGTTTGCTACACTATTTGTATCGAAGCCATACCAAATGCAGTTAACAGTTCTTACAACTGGTAATTTATCAAAGGAGCTCAATTTCTCGCTACCCCTGAGAGAGAACTGAACTGGATGAGTCTAGTTTATTAAACCGATGGGAAAGAATCAAAAGTCTCTATCATGAATTAAACTATAGATGGAAGTAAGACTACTTCAAAGATCTATATAAGAGACATCGGTAAAACGATCCAGAAGAAACTCAGCACAAGGTCCATCGGGGCGATGGTTATATTAGACTAGTAGAACACAAACTGACACTGACACTGACGAGCCGACAACACAAACGCTGCGAAATCAAACGCATAAATATAATCAAAACCAGGATTGCTGCGCCTAGAGCATCACCTTCACCCATCGCCGCACCAAGGACACAAAGAGTCTTGATTCCGCCAAGCTAAGCATTTGCTGCAGCATATTAGGATGCAAATGAAAATAAATTTGAAGAGAATTTGCCTCCACGATGCAGCTTATGCCATCGACCACGCGTTCTGAAGAGGTGCACCATCTTTAAAAGCACGGTCAACACCTTAAATCGCCAGAGCACACGACCATTGCATGAATTGGTTGGCAGACACCCACACCACATTCGAATGCCTTACGGGTCATGACAATATTATCAACGCCCTCATCATATCCTGTTTCACCGATTCCACCGCCGAGTCACAAAAAGTAGCAGGCACAGACAACACGGAGATCCCGTTCAGCGCTGGAGAGTTCACCATTCCACGCGCACCAGAGGAGCGCACTCGCGGCGAGACTTCTAGGCGACTAATCTGCCTAGAGTGGCCGAGATATTCATGCGACATTTGATCTTGCGATATTTTGATACATACCACAACATTACATGACTAATGCAATAATTCCCACCACCCACAACCGATAGAAAAGGATTAGTCAGATCACAATTGGGTCTCTTTTTTTTTTTTTAATTTAACCGTGACCTCAAAGGTTTCCGCCGTTGGTACGTGCGTTAAAGTAACGTTGCTAAATAAAGTTCCTTTCATCCATAAATTTTGAATGTTTGTTAATTCTAATTGCCTACTCAATCCGAAGTAGCATCTGCTCTTTCAAGTTATTCCATGTTGGATTTCGAGGCTGGCATTGTTGTAGCTGTTAATACTGGTTGGAAAAGATACGAAATTATCTACGACTTCGAAGTTATGACTGTCATCAGTGACGTGAGAGCCTAGTCGTGATTGCGACGACTGTTTCTTTGATAACAGGAGATTTTTCGTCTTGCCCTCGTCCACTACCAGACCCATTTGCTTCCCTTCCTTATCCATTTTAAAGAAAGCAGAATTAACGGCGCTGTTGGTTATTAAGGCCAATGATATCAATACCTTCGGGGTACGTCAGTAGAGGTACAATCTTATAGAAGACGATTTCTTCTCTACTTAGCAGCTCGAATTATTTTTTCCAGAAGTAGGTTAAAGAAGTCACACGAAAGGGAGTCGCCTTGTCTGAAACCTTCTTTTTGTATTGCAAAACGTTAGTTTACACAGCCATATTAATTTTGCGGGGATACCAAATTTAGACATAGTGGCATAAGGCAGCTCCTTTTCATGCTGTCGAAAGCAGCTTTGAAATCAACGAAGAGGTGGTGTGTGTCGATTCTCCTTTCACGGGTCCTTTTCAAAATTTGGCGCATGGTGAATATCTGGACTATACTTACACCCTTTTTAATATGAAATATTTTAAATATTTGAAAACATTAAAATAAACATTAAAAAATTTTCATTCTGATTTATTATTCTTTCTGTTTTTAATCATAACAAAAGCAAATTAAAATTCAAGGAATTGAATCAAAGGGAAAACATAGGATAAATAAATGTTTATGTGCTAGATGTTTTCATAAATGTTATTAATATAATTGACAAAACTTATTTCATATTTCTATTTATTTCAATTTCAGCTCAATTTGGACCCTGGTCATTCGGTCCGCAGCACGGATTTGCTCGTATAACTAGATGGGATTTGGAGCGATCTCCAGAACGTTTACACAATGGTGATGTTGAAGCTATTTTCTCTTTGACGGACAACGAATTCACTCGTTCTATGTGGAATTATCAGTAAGAATTAAATTAAATATTTGATTGGTCACTTTCGTCTTTAATTGTGCTATTAGCATAAACATTAATTACGTTCTATTTTATTTTACTGTCTTTCACTTCCTCTGCTTCCCCCGGCGGGTATTGCGTCGAATACTTTCAGCTCGTCGTTCCATCGAATAGACCATAAATCTTTCGCAGAAACTTTCTCTATAAAACTCGTAACGCCGACTCATCAGATGTTGTCATAGTCCATGCCTCTGCACCATTTAGCAGGACGGGAATAATGAGTGATTCATGGAGTTTGGTTTTTGTTCGTCGAGAGAAGACTTTACTTCTCAATTGCCTTCTCCGTCTAAAGTAGCACCTGTTGGCACGAGTTATTCTGCATTTCCCACGACAGCCGGTTTTCGGCGATCTAAACCCGTTTGTATCGGTGAGTGTTAATTTGGGTTTGTCTTCATTGGAGCAACGCCTTGCAGCAGTGTTGCTCCGTATCCTCCTGACTCGTGCTGGCATTGAGTCCAACCCGGGACCGGAGGAATTTTTCTGCTGCGTTTGCGCAAAAAGGCTCCACCCAAACTCCACCTCGGTCAGTTGCAATGCATGCAATGGATGGGTCCATCTTAAGACCTGCTCAGGCCTTACGACCTATAGGCAGTGGACCACGCGTTACGTGGCCCAATGTTGCCTATGCAATATTGTGACGCTAGCCTCTACGGCTGTGCAATCTGCACACAATTCTCCACCACTCACCCCGAGGACCTCAACGGTCTCTAGTAGCTCAAACAGGCGACATAACTCTGACAACCGCCCTTTCGGGTTCTGCAGCTGCCACAAATGCCACCCACACGTCTCTCCCTCACCCCCAGGATCACCCACGGACACCCGCGACAAACCCGGCTACTTTAATTTAACTGCAACGGTCCTCAGAGCAAGATCGAGGAGAGAGTTGCACTCATGAATCGTTAGCGCGTACCGATAGCTACGGTCCAAGAAACCAAGCTGAACAGCCGCTCAGATCTTCTGAGTTGTGCCGGTTTTAACGTGATACGGAAAGGTTGCGAGCGAGATAATGGTGGTGGCCTGGCCTTCATATTGCACAACACCGTGCATTATCGTCTAATTGATGAAGACATCGTGGTGAAAACCGTTTGGTACTAGGCGACTTTAACGCGCACCACGATCGATTCCTGCCTGTCAAATGATCATAGGGGGATGGAGCTGGCGGAACAGATTGACGATTCGACATTCTGCACAATGAATGACGAAGGCTCACCAGATTTATGCGTAAACACCACCAACAATGTCAGCCTAGAAATCCAACGCAGGATAACTCTTGCCAACAGGTGCTACTTCGGACTGAGTAGGCAATTGAGAAGCAAAGTCCTATCTCGACAAACAAAAACCAAACTCTATAGGTCACTCATAATTCCCTTCCTGCTATATGGTGCAGAGGCTTGGACGATGTCAACAACGGATKAGTCGASGTTGCGAGYTTTCGAGAGAAAAGTTCTGCGAAAGATTTATGGTCCTTTGCGCGTWRGCCACGGSGAATATCGCATTCGATGGAACGAAGAGCTGTATGAGATATACGACGACATTGACATAGTTCAGCGAAYTAAAAGCCAGCGGCTACGCTGGCTAGGTCATGTTGTCCGGATGGACGAAAACACTCCAGCTCTGAAAGTATTCGCAGCAGTACCCGCCGGGGAAGCAGAGGAAGAGAAAGACCTCCACTCCGTTGGAAGGACCAAGTGGAGAAGGACCTGTCTTCACTTGGAATATCTAATTGACGCCACGTAGCCAAAAGAAGAAACGACTGGTGCACTGTTGTTAACTCGGCTATAATCGCGTAAGCGGTGACTACGCCAATCAAGAAGAAGAAGAAGTGCGAAACACTTACCGTTACTTTTTTTTACAGCTAATTATATTGTGATATCTGTTTTTATGAGCGAGCATTAAAATAGTAGTGAACGGTGAGCTGATTGGACACAGATTATTTTTACTAAAAAATATTTAATTTTATCAATCAAAAAGTAAGTTTCTTGTTATTTTATTTATTATCCAATGAAAAGAGCTAAATAATATGACTGTGCATATTTTAGTGGGCCGCGGGAAGCACTGCAGTGAAGAGAAACGAAAATGGATTCAATCTCTCATAAACAGTGGTAAAACATACAAAGAAGTAGAAAGTCTGGACGAGTCGAATATGGTTTTATACGGCGGTAAAGGGTCCCGTCAGTATGTAAGACGCCCCCTAATACAGAGTACAACCCCAGGTTTACCACAAAAAAACTTTGAAGCATGGCGGTTCGAGTATCATGGTTTGGGGCTGTTTTTCTTATAGAGGCGTAGGCCCAATTTACAAAATTACTGACATAATGGACCGATACGCATACGTGAATATATTGCAGAATATTATGATGCCATTTCCGGAAGAGGACATGCCGCTGAAGTGGATATTTCAGCAGGATGATAACCCGAAACATACCAGTGTGGTAGCAAAGGAGTGGTTTCGGGTCAATAGAATTGAGGTCATGGATTGACCAGCTCAATCCCCTGACCTCAATGCCATTGAAAACCTTTTGGCAGACGTTAAGAAAGCCGTATGGAATGACAAACCTAAAAACAACAATGAGTTGAAGAACATACCACTAAAAAGATGCCAGAGTCTCTTAGATTCTATGAAGAGGCGTTGTATTGCTGTTATTAAAAATCCTGACCATGCTACCAAGTACTAATATCTCGTATAGATGGAACTTCCAAAAATCCTTCATTTAAAAAAGTAGAAAAAATTTATTACTTTACTACTATTTTATTGCTCCCATCAAATTTCATATATAAACAAAACTTTTTACACAAATATATCTTACACCCATTCAAATTAAAATATTTTTATTAATAAACGTAGCCAGGGAAATGTAAATATAAACTTTTCAATTTCAATTGATGTTCAAATTGTTTAGAATTTTGCAAAACTCACAGGTATGCAAAACTCTAACACCCACTACTGTTTCACTGCCCGCAGCAGTACTTATATATCTATGTATATAGCATATAATGTTCACGATGACGAGTCGAGTTAAAATCCCAGTGCTTGATTTGTAATATATGTGTATTTTTGTATGTTTATATGTTGCATATTTTTTATGCTACATGGGGTTGTTTTCAGGTGCACATCTACAATTATAATCAATTGCCTAAATGTACTCGTATATCTTAGGTCAATATGTTATCGTATGTATAGATCTTAATCTAAGTAAATATATTTGTGTTGCTGAGAGTTGAGTGTGTGCGTATTGCATATAAACGCATCAGAGAGCTGCAATGAGTATGAYAAAATCACAACAAACACTCGTGCAAAAAACACAATTAAATCGATTTAGTTCATTATATAATATAACGCCTTTCATCAATGGAACTTTCAATGTTTGATATTGTTGATCCAAAAATTCTCTGAATAACTGTTTGCTCTTATAATTTCAGCCCATCTTTGTCTAACTTCCGGACAATTACACGCGCAATAAATGGATCAGCTTATTCAATGCTTATTAATAGTGACTTTATAGCGTTAGACACTCCTCTATAGTATCTAATAATTGCCCCACGCTTTCAGTATTGTCACCATTTATAATTCGTAAATACATTACTCTGTCTCACTACACTTCGAACCGAATTCGTTGATTGTCATACCTTTGCTTAAGTAGACTCCATTCAGCTGCATACTTTTTCACCGAAATTTGTATGTGCTGTATTAATCGCGCAGTTTCGCCTTTTAAGCAGAGACGAAGATACAGAAGCCGTTGTGGTTTAACGTGAGTGATGCTTTCTATTGCTAGAAGCACATAGATCAAAACAATGCATTGATCAGCGCTCCAAAGCACGAGTGCATGCACCTGCACCACACTCTGGAGAACCAAAGCATGAGTGCCGCCATATACACTTATACTTTGGTTTCAATTGGTTTGGGTGGACGTAAAACACCGTAGCCACTTTGGTCGGGTACGAGGCCCATCTAAAACCTCTGCCGTACTCTGGGTCCGGCACCAGGCCGCAGTGCGACTCCACACCGGACTAAATACCCTTCCTGCATTTAGGTTTTAACCACAGCCACCACGAATCTCCACAAAGGGCCAAAAACCCAATGAGCAGATTGGAGTTACCTCCAAGGGCTGACTGCTCCCCGCGGTACCATGTTTTAGTCTTTGGTGTGACTTGTAGCTTTCGTTACTGCCAGTTGAGCCCCCAAGAATTCCTAAGAATTCCAAAGAACTCAACTGTATGATGACAAGGTGTCCCGTAAATGCATTCGTAAACGAAATCGTAAACGAAAACACGGTCAAATACCAGGAATAAATACAGTGTACAATAACCAGTTTTTTACGATGAATACTATAGCACTATATCTGACATGGACTATGCTGACAATTCAAGGCAAACCCAAAATGACAGACACAATGCATGCGGGATTTTAGTCGCCTTTTACGACAGGCCTGCCTTACCACGGGTATATTCGGTTTCCCCCCCAACCCAAGGGGGACGAAGATACAGCATTTTTTCTGCGCTTGGTAACTGCATGTTATAATGGACCTTTAACATCGCCGTAGAAGATTTTAATTTTTATACTCTTGCAGCCTACTGCTTCAGAGTATTATCGTTGTGTTCATCTAACTTTTCTTAATATCACCTAAACCTAAGCGAATCTTAGTATGCTGGTTCTTTCTTAGATATGAAAATGTAATTTGACAAAAATGGTAGCAAGGGGCACTTGTGAGAAAAAAATTGAAAAAGTGGTCGTGGCTCATAACAGAATATCTCCCCCTTCTGTCATATCTTCTTCTTCTTGATTGGTGTAGTCACCGCTTACGCGATTATAGCCGAGTTAACAACAGCGCGCTAGTCGTTTCTTCTTTTCGCTACGTGGTGCCAATTAGATATTCCAAGTGAAGCCAGGTCCTTCTCCACTTGGTCCTTCCAACGGAGTGCAGGTCTTCCTCTTCCTCTGCTTCCCCCGGCGG